CGTGAGCCGGAACTCCCCGCGGCCGACCCCGTCGCAGGCCCGGGTCCCGCCCCCTTGTCAAAGTAAGAAGAAAACAGCCCGAGCCCTCAGGGACTAGATGGGTAAATGGGGTCTTGGAGCCCTTTGCAAATCTTCGGGCTCCGCCCCTGCCCGGGAGCCTTGACCCTAAACGGAACCCACTCCTTCCCGACTGCCTCCTCCGCCTCTACTCCCCTCCCTCGTCCCTATTCCCTTAGACCTCAGCCCTGCTGTAAGGAAAGATAGCACGCCCCCCAAGTTCCTCCTCCTCCAAGCCTCGTCTTCCATCCGTGCCCTTCACCTGCCCTCGACCTCCACCTCCTTACCAATGTCCTTTTCTTCCACCTGCCTTCATTTTCATCCCCCTACAGCCCATACCCATCACGGATGTCTTCTGGTGGGAGCCATTTCCGCTCTTCCCTTTCCCTTGAGCTCCCGTCCCAGCTGCTTGGTGTCTGCCTCCGGAGCTTGCTTCATACACTCGCTCCTTCCATTCCCAAACCGTTCATTCTTGACTCCAGCTCCGGAGGTGGATGCTCACTCCAGAATCACCTGGGGGTTTGCAGGATGTCCAAGCTGCTGGATCAGGGTGGTCAGGGATACGCCTGAGCATCTGCTACACGGTTCTGCAGCCTCGCTTCCTCCCCCTGAAGCTGGCATTTGGGACGAGCTCTGTCACCAACTTGTAGGTGACTTTGACTCTGCCCATCTCACCCCTCGTCTCATCCCCCAGGTTAAGGCCTCAGGCTTGGCCTCTCCACCATGTGGCACGAGGCGCGGAAGCATGAGCGGAAGCTGCGAGGCATGATGGTCGACTACAAGAAGAGGGCGGAGCGGCGGCGGGAGTACTATGAAAAGATTGTGAGTAACTGACCTTTAATCCGGGGTGGGAGCTCCCTGCGAGGGTGGGGCCCTGGTCATCCTGGTAAAATTTGGGCTCCGTTTCCTCTTCAGCCATTTCTTCGGCAGAATCAGTGCTAAAACCCCGTGGCATTCTGTGTGTGAGCGTGTACCGTGGTGGTTGGTGTGGCCTCAGAGCACAGAGCTAGTGTTAGCAGGGAGAAGGAAGGTCTTTGTGACACGCGGCGCAGTCCAGATATGAGACTGGCCACCTGCGGAGTGTTGCTTGTCTTGCTTACTGCTGTATTCGCAGTGTCCGGGGCTCAGCCATTAAGTGAACTCTGACCACTTCCCTCTCCTGTTTGATGCGTTAATGCTTCACTTTTTTTTTTAAGTATATTTTATTGATTTTTTACAGAGAGAGGGATAGAGAGTTAGAAACATCGATGAGAGAAAAACATTGATCAGCTGCCTCCTGCACACCCCCCACTGGGGATGTGCCCGCAACCAAGGTACATGCCCTTGACCGGAATCGAACCTGGGACCCCTCAGTCCACAGGCAGACGCTCCATCCACTGAGCCAAACCGGTTAGGGCAATGCTTCACTTTTGGAGAGAAAACCAAACTTCATTCCATGACCTAAAAGGTCCTTCTGGTCTGTCCTCTGCCCGTCTCTCGGCTTCAGTCTTGGGTAGCTCCAATGTCCCTTTTTGCATCTCTGCTACCACACATTGTGCCTGTATTGCCTCTCCTCACCTATTTAATGCCTACTTGTCATGGAGACCCCAGTTTACAAAGGCACTTATGTCCTATGGTGAGTGTTCCAATTATATGATATTTGTATAGACATTTCTAGTGCTACTGTATCACTGCCCCAGCCCCCTCCTTGGTCTCCTGGCCTTTAGTCCTGCTCCATCCATCCACCCTCTTCAGAGGGTTCAGAGAGGTCTTTCTAAAGCACAAAGCTGACCCTGTCCCTCCCTTGCTCAGAACTCCTTTGTGGCTTCCTAGTGCTCTTGAGAGAAAATCCAGGCTCCTCAACACAGCCTTCAAGGCCCTGCTGGTCTGGCTTTTGCCTCCTTTCAGACTCACACCACCTGTTCTGCCTCATTCCTTTGCTAAAGCCATCTGGCCTCCTCACTACCTAGGTGACCATCTCTAACACAAAAGATGTATGAAGAGTATAAGTTGCCCTAGCTGGTTTGGCTCAGTGGATAGAGCGTTGGCCTGCGGACTGAAGGGTCCCGGGTTCGATTCCAGTCAAGGGCACATGCCTGGGTTGCGGGCTCGATTCCCAGTGTGGGGCATGCAGGAGGCAGCCAATCAATGATTCTCTCTCATCACTGATGTTTCTATCTCTCTCTCCCTCTCCCTTCCTCTCTGAAATCAATAAAAATGTATTTAAAAAAAGAGTATAAGTTTAGCTCCCAGAATTATATAGCCCTTTCCGGCCACAGGCTTTTCATGAACTCTTCCTATACCTGATTTACTCCTGCTCATCTGTCACATCTCAATCTGTAGGGCAGTCTTCCCTCATCCCCTCACTCAGATGTCCGGATAAGTGCTGTCACAGCCCCCTGTCCTTCCCCTTTGTGGAATTTAACACACACATCCAGCTCTGTAAAGATTAGGGACTAGGTGTATTTGGGTCATTTTTGCATCCCAAGCTTGGGTCCAACAAATACGGTTTGAAAGAATAGATGAACTAAAACAATATAACAATAGCATTTACCATTTTAATTGATCCTTCTCAGGCACTAGGCTATGTGAAAAGAGCTTTAGATACATGATTTTTTGAATCCCCAAAGTCACCGGTGAAGTAGAGGCTGTTACCCTAAGAGAGGAATCTCTGGGTGCTCCTCACTTGCCTTCTGTCACCCACAAATGCACCACGGGGCTGAAGGGAGCGTCCATCTCTGGTGGTGTCAGAACTATAGCGTGACCTCAGGGCAGGGCCTGGCGTGTGTTGCTGAGTTGAGACCCCAGCAGTGGCCCAGGAGCATAGCCAGTGCTCAAGAATGATGCCCGGCCGGTGTGGCTCAGTGGTTGAGCATCGACATGAACCAGGAGGTCACGGTTCGATTCCCGGTCGGGGCATATGTCTGGGTTTCGGGCTCGATCCCCAGTGTGGGGCCTGCAGGAGGCAGCCAATCAATGATTCTGTCTCATCATTGACGTTTCAGTCTTTCTCTCCCTTTTCCTTCCTCACTGGAATCAATAAAAATATAAAAAAATATTTTTATTGATTTAGACAAGAAGAGAGAAGAAAAGAGAGATAGCCTGGTTGCCTCTTCCACATGTGAAGTGATATAACATGTAGAATCAAGTTTGGCTGTGAATAATAGAGACCTAAAACATCAGTGGCTTAAACAAAAAAAAATTATTTCCTTTTCCACATAGGTGCCCAGTGGTACCCAGTTCTGCTCAGGGACCATTTTATTGTTTAGCTGTACATGACTTCTCTTCCCAGTATTGTGTCAAGGTCTAAGAGGGCTGCTCAAGCTCTGGCCATCATATATGTCTTCGTTCCACCCACCAGGCTAAGAGGTATAGACTTTATTATGGGTGGCCTTGCGCCAGATATATTAGGGGTCCTATTACTGCTGGAGAAGGGGGATGGATTGTTTGCCACTTAATGGTGGGGACAAGAGCAATTCCCACACAGGGCCGTTGGAGTATTTGGTGAGATTGAGCACATAGACCACTGAGTCTGGGCTTGCTCAGGGCAGCTTGCTCAGTCAGTGCTAGCTCTTGTTACTGAACTTATTATTACCAGGTAGAGCTGGAATTTGCATCCAGGTCGATGGTGTACCCGTGGTCGGCAAACTGCGGCTCGGGAGCCACATGCGGCTCTTTGGCCACTTGAGTGTGACTCTTCCTAAGCCTTAGGAGTACCCTAATTAAGTTAGTAACACTGTACCTACCTATATAGTTTAAGTTTAAAAAATTTGGCTCTCAAAAGAAATTTCAATCGTTGTACTGTTGATATTTGGTTCTGTTGACTAATGAGTTTGCCGACCACTGGTGTAGACGAAAGAGGGCTGGAGTTGGGTCACTCTGAAGGCCTGGGACTCCAGGCTCTCCTTGTTAGCGGGGAGCTCCCTCAGCTTTATTTTCCCCTTGGGACAGTGGTGATGACCAGCCCCTCTCACAGGGGTTGACTGGGAAAAGCATCAAGAACAAGAACAGTGACTGGGGTGCTTTGTGGTGCGGGCCTGTACAAGCTGTCATTGTCCCCATACATGAACGTGATCAGCATTCCAATCCAAGGCACCAAGCTGTGGACTGTGGCAATGGCTGGGCAGTTGCTGATGGCTGCTTTGAGGAGGGGATGGGCTGCTTGCACAGTCTCTTATCTCATTCTTGTGCTGAGAGAGGCGGCTGTGGGCGAGTTTTGAAGAAGCTGAGGTATATTGTGGCAGGCCAGAGATGTGTCCAGACAGAGGTGGCTTCTCTGCCTCTGATTTGTCCTTGGTGCATCCTCTCTCTCCCTAGCAGACATTGGTTCTGTTCTTGATCTTGTCCTTGTCAAC